GGTGTGACTTGATTTATTCAGTTTCTAGATTTTTTTTTTTCCCCTGTTTCGTCTCCTTCACTTAGTTGAAAGCATTTCCTCTAGCATGTGCCTGCAATGCTCATCGTCAGGTAACTGTCACTTTTTAATGAAGTAAGTAGTTTTTCGTTAACGATCTGCCTTTACTGTTCATAGCAGGTGTCAGGTCCCAGACTCGCAGGCAGCCTGGGCCAAAAGAAAGGCATCGGTTATCGGCTACACACCTAACTGAAGGTGAATAAAATATTGCTGAGGATATTCAAAGAGAGAAAAAAAGACACTTTTTTGTTGTTTGGGGTTTTTTTCCCCCAGAGGTTCTAAGCAGGGGAATAACATCTTTAGATTCAGTTTGCTTTATCTTCCCAGCCCTTCTGCCTGCCTGATAGCAGTGCACATCTCGGGAGTTCCCTCCTGCCTTTGCCATGAAAATAAAAGGTCTGTCTCTGCTTGGCAGTGGCATTTTTTAGTCCCTGCCAGGAAAGCATGCCATTGAATGACTTTCTACACTTAAAAGGCATTCTGGGAAAAATTCTAGAAGTGCTAAGTGACAAATGCTTAGTAATAATTAATGAGCTTTCCAGAAAAATCTTGGCCTTCCTTTTTGAGCTTTGCCCTCCTGCACAGTGTGACGTCCTGACTTGCACCACGGTAAGAGGCTGAGCTGTAACTGCAAGAGGTTGTTTGTGAAACCCTGAATTTTGTGGTGGCCCTGCACCCACCGGGTGCGCAGTCTGCCCTGGGAGGGGTTTGCTGCCCCTCCAGTGCGGAGCGGCAGCCGCCACCTGCGGGCGGAGGATTCTGGTGCTCTGCAGAGGTTAACTGCAGCGTCGCTGCTCTCCATGCAGAGCCGTGACACCTGCAGAGGGAAGAGCATTCTCCTAGGGCTGGCGAGCTGAAGCTGTCAGAGCTTTGTCCCGCAGCTCTCCTGTCTAGAACAACCTCAGCATTCAGGGGGATTAGAAACAGCTTCCCACCCCGCTGCTCAGCTGCTGGGCCCTCTGGGCAGACGCACCTCTTGTCCTTGTCTCTCCAGTCTGGCTGACTACGCGTCTTCTCAGCTTGAGGGTGAAACTGTACAAGCTGCTTCGGGTCCTTTGGATTTCCGGAGGCCACCGGGGGCCTAGCGTTCCCTGTCCCTGTGGGGTCTGGCACGGTTGTTCCTCCCTTCTTGGTTTAACGTTTTGTTGAACTCCTTAGTAAACTACTTGACACAAAGTCCTGCAGTGAGATTGCCAAAGCACCTGCCCTTCTGAAAAGTTGTCATGAAAAAATATTTTAATACTTGCTTGACTACCGTAAGCCATCTTGGAGGAAGGTAGAAGGATACTGGCAAAAAAGTGATAGACGAGAGCGTGTTTATAGCAAAGTTGTCAGGACACAGACCAGAATGGTAGTGTACAAACCTGTGACCAGTTCTGGAGTGGGTTTTCTGCTGCGTCTTTGGGAATAGTCGGCTTAGAAATTTTACTGTTTGTATTTTGAAATTTCCCTAAGGTCACACTTAATCCTGCAAACATCATGAATTCAGAAATGACCTGGGGTTGTCTGGCCAGCCAGCACGGAGAAAGCCTGTTAGAAACGCCAGCTGGTCGTTCCGTGCCTGTAGTGGCCTGTTGGGAGCAGCCCAGGAAGCTGTTGAATCCGCGCCCGGCCGGGCTGCGAGGCCGCGCTGCGCTGCCTGCAGAGGCGCGGGAGCACACCAGGGTGGCCGGCGCTGCCCTTTCAACCCTGGGACGTTTAGAAGCTTTTTGCTGAGATGAAGTTTTCCTGTCTGGAGCGTGGAAGCACAGTGTGTTCCGTGAGAGTAGGGGAGAAGTCCATTAGGAAACACATAGCCAGCTTAGTACCGACCTCCCTGGAGGGCTAAGTGCAGGGAAGGCTCACGAGTATTTTCCTTTTTACACAAGCAGTGAGTGAGTGGAATTTGAAATTAATTTTTAGCTGAACAGTAGAAACCTGCATTTTTCATTCCAGTCACAACACATTTTCTTATCCTTATTCCATTTCTTCTTCCTGTTACTCTTACAGGTACTTTGCTTTTTCACTTCACTATGTCTTTCAGATTTGGTGGGGTTTGTGCTTTCCAAGATCCCCAACATAACCTGGATGTGTGGCTGTTGCCTGTGTGTATAACAGGGGCTCTAAACTTAGGCAGAACAAAATTTTAATTTAAAATCAAAGTAATTTGTCCTGTTTTTCTTACAGATAGCACTGTCGGGAAAGGCTATTAGAGGAGACTATTCTGATGTGAAAGCAATACTACAGCAATTTCAGCTGAGTCCTGTAAAACATTTTATACACTGCTTTAAACTTGGAATGCTGAGATGGCGCTTCTGGTTTTTTTCAAAATTGTGTGAAATTGAGAGGTGAGCCCCGTCCCGCTGTGCTCCGAGGAAGGCGGATGCTTCAGAAGGGGATCCAGGCTGCAGGCAGCTCCTCATTCTTGGGGAGTGGGGCAAGAAGGAGGTGGCTCAGATCTGTGCTCCCCAGGAAGAGTTAAGTACTTCTCACCTGTGTGCATTGAATTGGGGCAGCCCAGAACAGCTCCTCTCTTCCTTTAGTCTGTTGGGAACTCGCATGAAGAGACTGTGAGCTTTATATATGATATAAAATACATTAAACCTAAGGCTGGGGGCGGGGAGTAACTCCTTGTCAGTGCAACT